GAAGGGGCTGGGATGGACTCCAGGGCTCAGCGGCAAGTAAAGGCTTGGGATCCAAATTCCTCGCCATGAATGAGGAGGGGTCCAGGACTTGTGAGTCCCCAAGGGAGGAAGTGGCTGAGGGTCTGGACTCCTAGGTCCTTTAGGGGAACTGGGGTCTCGGGGCTCAGACTTCTGAGTCCTTAGCGGATGAAGGGGGATGAGGACGAAGACTCCTCGGTCCTGGCAGAGGAGGAGGCTGGAGACGCGGATTCTTAGATCGAAGGTAAGACGGGGTTGGGGGTCTGAACACTTGAGTCGGAGAGAGAAGGGGACTGTGCCTCACGCCTCTAGGTCCCCAAGAGAGAAGGGTGCTTAAAGCTTCGACTTCTGGATTCGCAAAGCGTATGCCACGCTACTTAAGCCGCTGGAGGTTGGGAACCACCAATCCCAGCAGGCTTCACGGCAAACACTGCGCTCGGCCCGTACCCGTTCGCCGCGCAGCCTGCCGGGACGTGTAGTTCCACTCCGAGGCTGCACTGTTGGGGGCCCGGGACGCTTGGATGCCAGACAAGCGGGACTAGGGTGCCCGTACCTGGAGCCCGGCCCCCTCCTCTTCCCTCCTCACCCCAGCCTTCCCTAACACCCCGCTCACCTGGTGCCGGGCCCCGCCGCCGCCTCCTTCCCGAAACTCGTGTTAAGAACTTTTCTGAAGCAGTTTGACTTTCCCGCGCCTGCGCACTGGGCCGGGCTGGGGACGGACCGAGAGTCGAGGGGGCGGAGCCCTGGGTGCCCGCAGAATTCGCGAGTGACGTTCCCAGCATGCCAGTGGCCGGAAGGCCTGAAAAGGGCATGGGGAGGAGGGAGGTCCGGGTTCTGGGTGTCGTCTCTTTGGAGTTTGTCACCCGAATGAGGATGAAGTGGTTTTTATTTCAAGAAATCGGTAAAAAAGAAAGCTCCGTCGCTCCAAAGCTCAGTTGACGGGAAGAGGGGTGTGCCGCTGCGAAATCGAAAGCGATCACCCCAAAGACGGGTGAGCCCTAGCACCCCGCGCTCCCCCGTCCCCCTAGGTAGGTAACACGGAAGAGATGGGGAGTTGGTGGCGTCCAAGACTGAGGAACGGGAGAAAGGATGGATCTGCCACGATAATGTGCACCCTGGGGAAAGTGAAGCACGTAGGGAAAAATAAAGCAAAGTTCGGCGTAAAAAAAAAAACAAACTTAGGAAAAGCGGGTATGGGGAGAGAAGGGTGGACTTTGCAGATGGGCGGCAGTTCACTCTGGAGAGCGGGGCATGGCCTGGAGGAGGGAGGCTGTCTGGGGGAATTGTGGATGGGGGGCGGGGATTCTGCGGTGGAAATGAGTGAGGGGATCTAAGTGGCGGAAATGTAGAAGGGGTCTTCATTGGGTTAAGTGCGGAAGGTAGAGGTCTGCCGGGAGTAGCGTCTGCTGGAAGGTTCCACCTTAGAGGTGGGGGTACCTGTGTTGCATGATGGGGAGGGAGAGGTTTACAGTGGAAGAGAGAAGCGTGTATGTTGGCGGAATTGAGGGGTCAGAGGGTGTGCACAGAAGCTGGGGAGACGAGGCGGGGTCTAAAATGGATTTGGGAGAGAATTCTCGCTGATTTGGGGAGCCCCTCTGGAGGATGGGAGGAGGCCCGTTTGTACCCCAAGGAAATACAGGTGAGGGACCTGCGCTATGGCCCCGTGAGAGGACCGTCTGGGTGTGGAATCCTCGGGCCAAGTGGGTCTGGGAGGCCGCCAGCGCCCAGGAACTGCCCTCTGTACGCAGGTTGGACCATGGCTACCCCAAAGCCGAGGATCCTGCCCTGGCTAGTGTCGCAGCTGGACAGTGGGCAGCTGGAGGGCGTGGCATGGCTGAACGAGAGCCGCACGCGCTTTCGCATCCCTTGGAAGCACGGCTTGCGGCAGGATGCCCAGCAGGAGGACTTCGGCATCTTCCAGGTGCGCAGGAGCCAAGACTGGGCAAACACGGGGCGGGGCGGACTCCGAGGGCACTGGACCGAGAAGGCGGGGTTAGCACGTGGGGGCGGGCCCTCGCTAAAGCTGGCAGGTAGGGATGGGTGAAGTTAGACTGGGACGGGGAGAGGTTAGCAGGAGAGCTGGCAGGGTGGGAGGGGCCGGGTTCAGGGACTGGAACCGGGAAAGTGGCGTTAGAACGTGAAGGAAATGCATCCTAGGGGTTCAGGGCTCGGTGGGAGCGGGGCTCTTGGATATAGAATTCTGGGAGAACCGGTCTGGGAACATTAGAGGCCAGACCGGGCCCCAAGCTTCGGTTACTTACCACCGTATTAAGATACACCAGTGGCGCTAAAAAGAGAGCGGGGTGGGCGGTTGGTGGCAGAGTTAGACACGCAGTAGGACCCGGAAGGCTTGCTTAGAAAAAGGTTTTGAAAGGTGGGAGGTAATGGGGACTTGGGGTACAGAGAATGGAAGTTTGGGGATGGAGCCGTGCGGCGTTTGCACGGGCCAGGGGAGAGGAGGTGTCAGGATGAGAGGACGCGGGGTTAGGGCTCCAGGCCCGGGCCTAACTCATCCTCCCCACTATCCTGGTACCCCCCATCCTCCAGGCCTGGGCCCAGGCCAGCGGTGCTTACACTCCTGGGAAGGATAAGCCTGACCTGCCCACCTGGAAGAGGAATTTCAGGTCTGCCTTGAACCGGAAGGAAGTGTTGCGTTTAGCGGAGGACCGGAGCAAGGATCCCCATGACCCGCACAAGATCTACGAGTTTGTGTCCTCAGGTGTGCTGGAAGTGGGGCTTATCACGGAGGGATGGGATTTCGAGAGTCCCCAGCACCCCTTCTCCACTCACCAGCTTTCTCGACAGGAGTTGGGGACTGTCCTGAGCTGGACACCTCTCCAGAAACCGATGGCAGATGCAGTACCTCCGATACCCAGGTAAGAACACGCCCAACCTGGCTGCTGTCAGTCGGCTCCATCTCCTCTCTGCATCCCGCAGAGCCAGTCAGGCCTCATCATTTCCCCTTGGGCCACGGCCCAAGCCTCCTCCCTGGCCTCCCTCCTCTCCCCCACCTGACCCAGAGCTGACCCCATCCCTCCCCTGCTCGCACACCCATGGCTTCCCAGCACCCACAGGAGAAAGTTCAGTTATCGCCAGACATTTGAGGCCTTAACACACCTTTCCTTGCTTTCCTCACTTTCCAGCCTCTCTGAGAACTCAGAAACTCCCCGCCCTTGATCTTGCTGATGTCTGTGCCAGGGAAAGTCCCCACTGAAGTTCTGCCCAGCCTTCTCTGCCCAGGTCTTGCCTGCATGGAGCCAGATCCTGAGGCAGGAACTAGCTGTTCTGCTCAGGCCACTGTAGCGCCCAGCAGCTTACCCACACGTGTACTTAGCAGTCTGCACCCACGGCTGCCTCTCCCGTAGACTGGAAGCCCCTAAGAGCAAAGCTCAGGCCTGTCCTATCTCTGGGTCCCCACACTGCCGACCACAAGGTCTAGTCCATGGGAAGGCTCCAGAAATGCTATGGAAATGCCCAGGTCCTTTTTTTCTCTCCAGGAAGACATTCTAGAGTTACTGAGTGACATGGCCTTGGTCCCAGGTCCAAATGAGGGGCCCTTGAGCCTGGCCATGGCCACTGAACAGCCCCCCCAGCTCTTGCTGAGCCCCAGCTTAGACATCCCTGCTCCCTGCCCAAACTCAGAACCCCCTGAAAACCCACTGAGGCAGCTCCTGGTGCCTGAGGAAGGTGAGTGCCCGCGGAAGGTGACTTCCCGCCATGGGGTGGGTGGGGCTGGGGCGACGGGCCCCCTCACACTCTCTCAACCTCTCTCCACTTTCACGTTGCTGCGGCCGCTGCTCAGAGTGGGAGTTCGAGGTGACTGCCTTCTACCGGGGCCGCCAAGTCTTCCAGCAGACCATCTTCTGCCCAAAGGGCCTGCGGCTGGTGGGGTCAGAAGCAGGGGACAAGGCACTGCCTGGGCAGCCGATCACACTGCCAGACCCTGGAGTGTCCCTTACAGACAAGGCTGTGACAGGCTACGTGAAGCGTGTGCTGAGCTCCCTCGGGGGGGGCCTAGCTCTGTGGAGGGCAGGGCAGCAGCTCTGGGCCCAGAGGCTGGGGCACTGCCACACCTACTGGGCCATGGGCGAGGAGCTCCTCCCCAGCAGTGGTCACGGGCCTGATGGCGAGGTCCCCAAGGACAGGGAAGGAGGTGTGTTCGACCTGAAGCCCTTCGTGGCAGGTGAGCGGGGCGGGGTCTTAGCGCCGCTGTGGGAAGAGCAGGGCCTGTTGGGTCCTGCGGCTCTGCTTGCAGTTCAACCCGGGGCAAGGGACGGGACTGCTCGGGCCCGTCAGATCTGGGGGCTGTCTCCTCTCTCCCCTACCTGCCTAGAGCTGGTAGGAGGCAGTGTCCTCTGCACAAAGGGTGCTCCAGGAACCAGCTGCCAGTCGTCATCATTACCAACTAGTGTGGCTGGACAGACGCAGGTCTCCCCTAGGGCCTGGCTAGCCAACAGTTTCCTTTGTACTGTACAGTATGGTATCCACTAGCCACATGTCGCCACTAAGTACTCAGACGTGGTCAGTGCAAGTGAGGAAGTGAGTTTTTACATTTTGTTGCATTTTCATTAATTACAGTTTTAACAGCCGAGGTGGCTAATGGCTGCTTATCAGACAGCATGGCCGTAATGGGTTAAAGAGCAGCGACTGGAAACTACCGTCTGTCCCAGAATCACTGCATCCGTGGAGGAGCTGAGCCCCCTCCTGGGCCTGTTACCTCATCCTCAATGCTGAGGCTCTGGGTGGGGAAGGGACAGACCTTCCCACCCTACCTTGATGGGAGGGACGGAGGGAGGAAGAATGTTTACATTTGTGCCAGAATTGTGGGGACTTCTCCCAAGTCCACAGTCCCCTGGTTGTGGGGGCACAGCTGTGTCGGGCTTTAAGTCAGGGGAGAAATTAGAGTTTTACTCAGGTTTTAGGGGGAGGGTGGGTCGAGGACTTCTCATCCCTGACTAGGCTCCTGGGCCCCCAGATCTGATCGCCTTCATCGAAGGAAGTGGACGCTCGCCACGCTACACCCTCTGGTTCTGCATGGGGGAGTCATGGCCCCAGGATCAGCCATGGATCAAGAAGCTTGTGATGGTCAAGGTGCCTGCAGCCTAACCCCCTGGAGCCACGGGGTGGAGCTTCCAACGGGAATAGACTGTTCCTAGGAACTACAATTCCCAAAGCCCCTCTGAGAAACTACAACTTCTAATAAGGAGTCCTTGCAACCACCATCCCTCATTCCCAGGAGCTTTTGGGTGTCCTTCCCATGGCCTCACACCTCTCTCTCCCACATCTAGCCTGTTTTGGGCTCTTAAAACCATATGAGAGTCAGTGGACTACAAGTCCCGGGAGCCTCTGTGAGAACTACAGCTCCCAGGAGTCCTGACCACAAGCTGCTCAGCCCAAACTTCTGGGAACCCTTCAGCAGCCTCAGCCCTACAAACCTCCTCTGGCCTCCCACAATTATGAATATGGGAAAACTGCAACTCCCAGCAGCTCTGGGTCTAACGATTCATGCTGGGTTGCGGTGGGGCTGCTGGGAGTTGTAGTCCATCTAACCGCACTCCCTGCGGTGGATCGTGTTGGGCGCTTCCCCTGATGTTGTTTCTCCCCCACCTCCTGCAGGTCGTTCCCACGTGCCTCCGGGCCCTGCTGGAGATGGCACGGGCAGGGGGTGCCTCCTCCCTGGAGAACACGGTGGACCTGCACATTTCTCACAGCCACCCGCTCTCCCTCACGGCAGACCAGTACAAGGCCTACCTCCAGGACCTGGTCGAGGACATGGATTTCTAGGATCCGGTCGAGGACATGGATTTCTAGGTCACTGGGGAGGCCCTTCTCCCTCCCCACATCAACCAGTAAACTAGTTCTTGCCATAGTCACCACTTGTGTGCGTGTCTGGTGTTGAGCGTTCCCAGGCCAGTTCTGACCCAAGCTGGGCATGAGTTGTCCTGGTCTGCCACGACGCAGGTGCTCGCTGTGTGAGAGCCAGGCACTGCGTAGGGGCAGCTGACACTACCTCCTTACCTCTTCCCAGGGACCTGCTGAGGAGGTGACGGTCACCCCCATTTTACAGACCAAGACACTGGGGCTTGGGAGAGGAAAAATAGTCACAAAGTAGGAAACACAAGCTGGTCCGAATCCAGTTCTGGCTTCAGAGCTGCTCTCTTGGGGAGGCCCAGGGCTGAGTCTGGGATCCCGCCTCGCCTCAGGAGGTCTGCGCCCCACCCACCTGACACAACCACCTCGACCCCACCTGGGTTCTGGGTCATGGGCCTGACCGAGGCCAGCACCGCCCTGCCACACCACACGGCTCCTACTGCGTCTCGGGAAAATAGTCACAAAGTAGGAAACACAAGCTGGTCCAAATCCACTTCTGGCTTCAGAGCTGCTCTCTCGGGGAGGCCCAGGGCAGAGTCTGGGATCCCGTCTCGCCTCAGGAGCTCTGCGCCCCACCCACCCGACACAACCACCTCGACCCCGCCTGGGTTCTGGGTCGTGGGCCTGACGAGGCCAGCACGGCCCTGCCACACCACACGGCTCCTACTGCGTCTCGGCTCCCTTCTCCGTCTCAAGAGAGTGATGTGGTCACTCCAGCCTCTCAGGTCTGGTTAAGACACAACCCAACTCAATGGGGGACAAAGATCCTGGTCTTGGGCACATCCAAAACAGACAAGTAGCACCCAGGTGCCCTGAGCTTGGCAGACCTTGGCCAGTGGGACCCCATGGCCATCACCATTGGTCTGTCACCGGCAACAGCTTACTATGCACCGGGGAATGTTCTAGGTGCTTCACCTGCCTGGGTCTTACTTAATCCTCAATGCTCGCTGTACAGACAAGGAGACAGGCCCGGGGAGGGGAACGCACTGGCCCCAAGCCACGTAGCCCGGTCTCCTGAGAACCAGCCTCAGACTTGGGCTAAGCCCCCAGCATGTCCCTCCCCACCCTTCCCAGACGGGTGTCTCAAAAAAAAGACCTAAAATCTTGGGGCTCGAGGGCAACATTTCATGAAATCTTTAATGAAACGGGAGAGGCACGAACAGAGGAGAGGGATGATGGGGACAGGCTCGGGGACAAGGGAAATGGGCACGGGACTGGGCAGGGGGCTCTCCTCTTCCCCGCGGCGACCCTCCCCCAATCATCCCACTGACTCGGGGAGGGAAGCGAGGAGGCGGAGCCATAAATACGTCCAGAATTCCGAGGAGGCGGAAGGAAGGGGGGCTGGGTCTCAGAGAGGGGGCAGGGGCAGGCCCGGGCCACCCTTGTCAGGGGGCCCTGGCTCCTTGGGCGGCCGTGGGGGCCCCGGGGGGTCCCCTGGCTTGCGGCCGTGCTTGCGGAAGTAGCGGTAGCGTTGGACGTAGGCCCGCACCAGGTTGCTCACCTTCACTGGGTTGATCTCCCCACTTTTGCTGTGGCAGATCTGGGGAGCGAGGGGCAGCTGTCACCGCCGGCCCCCCAGGATCTGTCCACCTAGACTGCTGAGCGCAGCTTGGGACGCGGACAGGAGCTGCTCCCCCAATGTCTTTAGTTATCCCCCGATGTCGGAAGAGACCAGGCAGGCTCAGGGAAGTCTCGTCACCCTCCACACCTTCCAGACCGAGCCACCATCCCTCGTACATCCGCCTGCACACGTCCCTCTCGCTTCGTCCCTCCCACTTCGGCGTCTGGCCCCCTCTGGCCCACCTTGTGGACGGCCTTCCTCAGGATGTCCTTGTACTCCTCCTTGGTGATGTCCTTCTTCTGATAGTACGGCTTGATGGCCAGCTTCACCTCCTCCACCGCCCGCTCCTGAGTGTGCAGCTTCTTCAGATACTGGCGGGGGGGGCGACAGGGTGGGAAGAAGGGACAGATCAGTTCCTGAGGAACCCCTGGCTCCACTTGCTGCCTGCCAGCTCCGTCTCCCTGACCACGCCCCTCCTCGTGCTAGCGGAAGCCCTGTTTAGGGTCTGCCCTGTGCTCCCCTGGCCAGCTCTGGGCCTCTGAGTGTCACTGAGCATGTCCTCTAGGCTGGACTCTGGCTGTCCCAGGTGGCCATGACCAGGACATGTGTCCCCTGCCTTTACAAAGTTCAGTCGGGTGGGGAAACAGACATCAACCAAGCAGTTACAACTGTTTTAATCAGATGCTATGAGGTTTATACTAACAGCAGCAAGAACGTGTGGCAAAGATCTTCAATGGGCAAGTGAGAAGACCCAACGTTGGACCAGCTCCTCAGTGGCCAGTGGGGCCGAGAGGCGCTGCAGGTGGCGGGGCGGGGGGTGGGGGGTACGGACTGGCTAAGAGCACAGGGGAGGGGTAGGAGGTGAGCCTGGGGGCGGCTGGCATTTCAGAGTTCAGGGCATGGAGCTGGCTCATTTGTGCTGGAATCCTGGCCGGACAAGGGACTGAGTGAGCCCCCTGTGGGACAGTACTTGGGGGGCTGAGGCGACACACATGGAGGCCACAGAAGGAGTCAATCAAAGGGAGCTATGGCTGTTCTGAGGCGATAGCTGTGGGCAGAGGACAGGGAGCAGCTGAGGGAACCCCAAGCCCACGGGGACGGAAGAACTGCGCCCCTGCCTCGGCCTCAAGTGAGATCTTTGCAGAAGCCACCGGCCAGGACATCTCTGATGGGGGCGCGCATTCAGAACAGAGCTAGACACAGGGGAAAGTCACTCTGAGAACCAACCCTGGGAGGTCACCCTCCCGAGCCAGGGCCAAGGGAAGAGTAACCTTAGGCCTGGCAAGGGCAGGACACTCCAGAAGTCAGGGCCATTCCCGACAAGATGACAACGAGCGCAAACTGTGGGCTGAGCTCCTGGGCTGCGTGGGAAGCGCCACTGCCAGGAGAGCCACGGGCCACCCTGGGGGAGTCCTCAGGCCTCCCTACCTAACAGGAAGTGGATTTCTAAAGGGACACGGGTTGCCCCCGCAGCCGTCTCAGATGTGGCGAGGAAGGACAACAGGCAGAGGGCAGACCAGGGCAGCCTCACTGGCTGAGCAAGGAACCTGCTTCTGGTCGCAGGTTCCATCCTGTCCTCATCCTACAGCCCATGGCACGTGCCATGAGCCAGTGACCATCACAGCTGTGCCCCTAACACCATTTCTCACAAGGGGCTTCATATGGGGCTTCTCCCACTTTCCCTCTGGCACCGTGCACGCCCTGTGCAAGGGCGGGCAGTGCCATCAACGGGCAGCTGCTGGACCATACAAAAAGGCTCCAGACCGGACCGAAAGGAAATCGGCCTGAGGCCCGGGAGAAGGAACCAGACGTAGTGGAAGAAGCTGTGTATGTTTGCCCAGCACCCACTCTTGAACTCTCCATCGAGGAAATGCTTGGTTCGCGTCTGTAAACCGCCCTCCCCGACGCAACAAGGGAGCAAAGACGGGAGACAGAGATGTGAGCAAGCGAGGGGCAGACTACGCTGTGTGCACGCGTGTGTGTGTTCACGTCTTCATCTGTATCTCCCTGTATTTATGGACGTGTGCACGTAATTTCCAGTGATTCTGCCAAGCACCTGTTTCTCGTTCATCTATTCAAGTGAAAGTTTAGTTCCTTACAATTTAACGACCTCAGGTTTTAAATCTAAGGCCCAGCTGCTGGCATCGGTCTGCCATTCTCCTTGGGCCCCCGCATCTCGGTATCTGCTGCTGTTTTCTGCAAAACTGTTACCATCGACCCACCTCTCCCAAGCCCAGCTCACCTTGTCTGTGTCCCCACGTCCCTCAGAGCTGCTGCTGCCCTCTCTCTTCTCAGATGCTGCAGCCAGCCCAGTAGGGGTAGGAGGGGTAGAACCGCAGCCCCCCAGGGGGAGGCTGCCCGGGAGCAGGTAGCTGGAGGGGCCTGGGGGCAGACCCAGAGAGGTGGGCACAGGAGCTGGTGTCACCCCTAGACTGGAGGGTGCCTTTCTGTGGCTGAGGATCTGTGGAAGAGGATGGATGAACAGAGATGGAGAAGAGGAAACGTGTACCCCTATTATTCCCACCCTGATTTCCCAACAGTCCCAGGACAACAAGCTCCTCTTCTGGCCAATACCTTGCCCCAAGGCCTGCTGGGAGTTGTAGTTCCTCTCTTAACCCGAGGCAGGGGACAAGAGAAGGGGCTGCGGGGACTCTTCCCCAGGGGAGCCCACCTGGTTGGTGGCCTGGATCAGCTCCTGGGCTTTTGCTCGGCTCGCCAGATTGGCTTCTTCCATTTTGAAGAGAAGTGCAGTCACTGCAGGAGGTGGAGAGTTGACAGGGAGACTGGGGTTGGCAGAAGAGATGGTGAACCTCACCTCGCCACCTGCTGCCATCTCCCACCCTGGGCCCCTGGACAGGCCTTGAGGCCTCAGGCTAAGAACTAAGGGCGCCTTGGACACTGAAAGAACCCGCCCACACTTCCGATGTGCCTGGGACTCAAGTGTATGCGTGTGGATGTAGCCGGGGTCGCTCGGCGACAACGTACGGCAGAGATGAGTTGTCTCCTGAGACCCGCAGCCAGTCCAGCCCCTCCCTCCATCTCTGTGGTCTGGCAGAGGCTACTGCCATCCGCTAAGGAATGCTGCTTCCTGTCACCTCATTCTTTCGGGTCCCTCCACTAAGTCTCTCCCAGGTCACCTCCAGGAGGACCCCCAGGACACGTCCCAGGCCTCCGGCCCGTGCTGAGCGGGCCACCCCCTGCTCCTGCCGGCCCTTCTTCCATCACGCCCAAAGAGCTAGGAGCCTCCTGGACGGACTGATCAGCCCTCGCCCACCGTGGCTCTCCCAGTCCAGGTCGCTGCACACCCACCCTTTCCAAGGCATCCCCATTGCCACCAAGTCTGTCCCCGTATGACCTCGTCCTCACTGATCCTTTTGGTCCGGCACCCCCGGGGGACACTCACAGGCCAGGACACCACTGGTGGTGCAGTCCACACCAGCGGGCAGGTTCCAGGGCAGGGGTGGGGGCAGCGTGGGCAGCTGGGAGACTCGGGTGGCTGGCCCGTCCTCTGCCCCTGAGTCACCGGCTGTGGACCCTGCGCTAGGGGCGGTGCTTGGGGCGGCTGCGGCTGTGCTGGTGGCCGTGGTGGTGGCGGGCTGCTGCTCTTCCTCCTCCTCCTCCTCCTCTTCTTCCTCCTCTTCCTCCTCCTCCTCCTCCGCCCCACCTCGGACCCCTGCCTCCTCAGTGGCCTCCTCAGGCAGGAAGGAGACCTCGGGTGTCTTACAACTGCTATCCACGGTCTGTGAGTCTGGCGTGAGCGCAGGGGGCGGAGGGGCTGCCTTGGGGGGTGGGGTGCTGGGGGCCTTGGCGGCCCGCTCCTCCCCAGACCAGGAGGTCTCCTCGGCCCCCTTGGCTCCTGCCGCCTGGCTGCAGCTGTCCGCCTTGGACTTCTTCAGTGTCACAGAGCCACCGGTGCCCCCGCTGCTGGCCCCACTGCGAATCTTTTTCCTGGTCTTGGATGGCTTGGTCTTTCCCTTGGTCCCCTTGGCTTTCTTGGCCCCAGCCTTGGCCTTGACCTTGGTCTTTTTGGGCTTGGTGCTGCCCGGAGCTGCTTTGGCCACCTCGGCAGGGGCCCGCTCGTCAGGCTTGAGGAAGGGAGAGCGGCTCTCACGGTCGCGGCTGAACTTGACTCCGATGGAGCCCAGGCCGGCCGACGCGGCCTCCTTGGCCGGCGTGGTGCTGCTGACGCCCTCTCGGATCAGCACCGCCACCTTGGACTGCAGCTTCACCTTCCGGGACGACGAGGACGAGGACGAGGATGAGGAGCCCGAGCCGCTGCTGACGGGGGGCTTGGGCGGGGGCCCTGAGGAGGGCGCCAACTCCTTGGGGGGCCGGGCCTTCTTGGATGACCTGTCCCTGTCCCTGTCTCTGTCCCTGTCCCGGTCCCGGTCCCCACCATCCAGCGCCTTCCGCCGGGATCCCTTCTCCCGGGAGGAGGAGGACGAGGAGGCGGCCCCGGAGCGGCGGCGGTCCTTCTCGCTGCTCTTGCCACCCCGCTCCTCGGTGCTCAGACCCTCGGAGTCGTACAGAACCTCGCGTTTGGGCGACGAGGCCGGGGCCGGCGAGGGGCCTCGGGGCTCAGACTTGTCCGGCCGGCCCACGGTGATGGTCCGCTTGATGGCGAAGAGATCGTGGTCTGTGAGGTCCTGGATGGAGGGTGGCACGGCCCCCCGGCGGCGGCTGTCCCGCTCCCCGCCCAGGGAAGCTGAGCCGGAGGGCGCCTGGGCGGGAGCCGGGGCCTTGTCACTGTCCCCGGACCGCTTCTCACCCCTGGACCGCGACCGCTTCTTCTTCTTTTTGCTGCCGCCGCCGTCCCGGTGCTTGCCGCGGTGACGGTGCATTTAAAAATAAATCTCAGACATTAGACATTATATCATTTCACCCATAAATGCATCAATATGTATTGCTAACTTAAGGATATTTTGTACATTCTTAAATCCACTAAGAAGTTTCAATCAATAATATTACTGTAATTATCTAATTCTGCTTTACTTTAGAAGTAGTAGAATTTCAAAAAGCAATTGCTTAATCTTGCCATACAGTAAATTCTTAAACAATAAAACTCTCTGGGATCTTTTTAAGTAAAATGACCACATCACAGCCTACAACCTGACAATTCATTAAGATAAAGTGCCTTTTCCCAACATAGCCTGGACCAGTTTTCATGACCTCATGTCTTTAAGAGGAAAGGTTGACCTATCGTTGCCAATAACCTCTTTCCTTTCCTTTTTCTTCCCCTTTTAGATCTTCCTCCTCCTCTCTATGATTCTCCACTCCCTGCCCATTCTCTCCCACTTCCAGCCATACACATGCATAAACTATGCCAAAAGTACGGCTTACCTCAGAATATATTAGACAAATGCCTGATTCAGCTCTAGGGTAGTCTGACAGTAAGACAACGATGTGATGTCATTTGTTCCTCATCCACATGCTTCTCAAGATCCTCATAAACATTCACCTGAAATATCTAGGCGCCGGCGCCCGGGAGGAGGGCGGGGGGCCCGGCCGCTGGCCCGGAAGAGGGACAGTGCCATCCTGGGCTCCTCCTCGGGCTGGACGATCTCGCCCTCCTCGATCTCCGAGTCGCCAGGAGGCAGCAGCGGGGGCGGGAGGGCAGCTCCGCTGGCTGTCACCACCTCCACGGAGACCGTGCCTTCCCGACGTGCTTCCGCCTCGGTCCCCACCACGAAGACGCGCCGGCGGGTGGCTCCGTCGGCCCGGGTAGAGTCCGCCTGCGGTGGTGTTCCGGGGGCGGCAGTCGACTGTGGGGGCTGGGGCTCCAGGCGAGGACTCTCGTCCCCGGGGAAGTCCTGGCTCAGGCTGTTGTCGTCGTAGATGCCCGCCAGGGTCTCAGAGATGCGGCTGATGC